TCGTGAATGTCTCAGAGCTAGTCCTCAGGGTAAAGCTACTGATCTCTGACAGACTTTAACCCTACCCACAACCTACCCCCATCACAGAAACTCCAAGCAAGAGGAAACTGCCATCTCCCTCTTTTGGGATACTCAAAGCAGATCTCCCTTCCTCCCACTGAACTAGCCTGGGAGGAGGATCAAAAAGTTCTGGGTAAGGCAAAGCTTCTTTCTGCTGCTCAAAAACAAACTGACTTAAGAAACCAATCAATCCACAGTAAAACCAAACACCACAAGCAAACCAGACTCTCCAACAGGAGACTGATTATGGACACAGGGGAGACACAAGGTCCTCTTCCCCCTACTGCAAAAAAATCAAATAACTATTTTTTTCTACCTAATCAAACAATTTGTACAACTACAGGATTCTGGTTGATATTTGCCTTAAAAGTGTTTCAGCATGAAGCTGGTTTTGCTTTTATACCAAATGGGCAGGACAAGCTGGAGAAATACAAGAAAAATGGCAACTCCTGGTATCTCAAGTCCCACTCATGATAATCAGGCGACAGAGCAGTTAATGACTAATCCAGAGGAGAGTTCCCAAAATGCTCTACAAACACTACCGGTAAACATGATAAATGAAAAGATTGAAAGCTTGCAAACGACTCTGTATAAGCATGATAAGGAAATGCATGAGGAGGATAGGGAAAAGCGTGAGCATGTTGAGGCTAACCAAAGAATTTCAAGAGCATGATGAGGCCAGCAAAAGATTAATACAGGAATTGTGTGAGCATAAAAAAGCTAATCAAAGATTAATACAGGAATTGAATAAGCAGGATGAGAATAGATAAAGATTAATAAAGGAATTTCATGAGCATGAGGAAACTAATCAAATATTAATGCAGGAATTGCGTGAGCGGGATGCGAATAGACAAAGATTAATGGAGGCGTTCATGGAATCCATAAACAGACACCTAAAGGAATCCAGGGAGGTCACAAAGGGAATGCTGAGTGGAGCCCATCAGAAGGAAAGGGAGTCCAATGAAACCATAACCAATCAACTAAGGGATTTAAGAATGAACACTGAAAAATAAATTAAAGAAGTAAAGAAGCCAATACAAGATCTAAAACAAAGCTCCAACAAAGAATTTGAAGACATCAAAGCGCCCAATTAGATGGAAAGGAGGTTAAACCAGTAGGTTACACCATACAGAAGATCAAATCTCGGGGATTGAGACAGCCTAGATAACATAGAGAAAGAACATACAATGATTCAAGACAAATCCAATAAATAGATCTATCTAACATTTAGAAACAACATCAGAAGACCTAATCTTAGGATAATAGGTATAGAGGAGCACCTAGAGACAGAAGTTAATGGTCTAGGAAATTTGTTTAGCAGGATGCTAGCAGAGAACTTCCCAAACATGCAAAAAGATAAGCCTTTTCAGATACAAGAAGCCCACATAGACAATACCAGAACAGGATATCCCACCATCACATTATAATCCACACAAGATCAATTCAGACCAAGGAAAGGTTCCTGAAAGCTGTCAAGGACAAAAGATCAATCACCTATAAAGTGAAACCAATCAGAATAACTTCAGATTTCTCAGCAGAGCAAACTAAAGCAAAAAGAGCCTGGAATGATGTATACCACGCCCTGAAGATAAACAACTATCAGTCAAGAACACAGTACCAAGCTAAACTCTCCTTCATAATAGAGGGTCAAATACCTTCCATAGCAAAGAAGAACTAAAATAATATATCTCCAACAAACCAGCCATAAAAAAGATACTTAAACATGTCCTACACATAAAACATCAAGAAGAGCACAATAAAGGACAAGAAATAGCCCCTAAACAGAGAATACAAGAATTATAAAAAGAACCTAGTTGTCATAGCCTACAAGAAGGTGGATAACATGGCAAGAACTACCAAACACCTCTTAGTCCTAACTCGCAATATTAATGGATTAAACTCTTCAACTAAGCAACATAGACTGTCTAGTTGGATTAAAAAGCAAGATCCTTCTATCTGCTGCCTTCAAGAGTCACACCTTGCCCATAAAAACAAACATTTTCTGTAACTTCTTTCATTTATTTAAATATGCTTATATGCCAGGCACCGATGGTTCATGCCTGTAATCCTACCTACTTGAGAATGAGATCTGAGGATCATGAGTCAAAGCCAGCCTGGGCAGGAAAGATAGTGAGAATATGAGTCAAAAAATCTGCCCACCAAAAAGTCTGGAAGTAGTTGAGCTATGGCTCAACTAGTAGAGCTCTAATCTTGAGCACAAATGTTCAAGGACAGTGCACATGCCTTGAGTTCAAACTATAAGCCTGGCACCAATAAAAAATATTTTAGGGTTTTCATAGGGTTAATTTTCCTCCACAGTTACGTTTATTTTTAGGTATTTTAGTAATGTAACTTTTATAATAACTTTAATTACTAAATGTTCTAAACACCTGTACTTTTCCTCATGAAATGTAATGCTTATGTGTTATATACATCTGAAATTTTCCTTTATAGTTATTTTAAAACACACTTCCAAAAGTAAGTCATATTTTGGATAAAATATGTAAACAAAACAGCCAATGTATATAAACAAAAACAAATGTTTAGTTGAATATAGAAACAGCAATATTTTCTTAAATCAAAGCAACTTTGAATGTTGTTTACCAAATGATAGCATACATTTGCAAATTCTGAATTTTATATTATTTTAATAATTTCATAGATAAATTTTTGTTCACATATATGTATATGAAACTCAGTGGTATATACATTTATATATATATATCATATGAGCTACTTTTAGATGCTTCTATTTTTCAGTACCTTCACTATGCTTTGAGTGTATTTAACAGAATTGAGGGAAAAGACACAACTTACATAGGGAATTGAATAAAAAATACTTAAAATGAGTAATTGATAATTGATATCAGATACTTATTCCTAAAAAGCAATCAAATAGGATTCCAAAGAGAATCCACAAAAGTAATAATTTTGAAACTCACTGCCCACAGTGAGTTTTGGAACTTATTGTAGAGGGCAAGAATATGTACACCCGTGTAGGGAGAGGTTATATGGGTTGCTCTGGGCCAAAGCTGACTACCTGCAATTGAGGAAAAGAAACTTTAATACTGAGACTGAAACAATATTTGAGGGTGAGTTCTGTGTGATGAGCTGAACATAGAACAATGAACGCTACATTTCAAGAAGCATTCTGGGACCAGAAAAAGAAGTTACTTCCTGCTCTGGTAATCACCTAACATCCGCTTAAAATTGACAGTCCAGTTTTAGAATACAAACAGTGGACTTTTTGTCTTATACTTGTAATTTTAGCTATTCACATGTAAAGAAAAGGAGAATCACATTATAGGGTAGCCTAGACAAAAAGTTAGCTTATAAACTTAAGTCAAAAGTAAACTAGGAATAGTGGTACACACCTGCAATATCAGGTACACAAAATACTTAAATAGGAGAATTAAAGTCAAAGGCCAGGCCCAGGAAAAAAAAGGCAAGACCTTATCTAAAAGAAACCTATACCCAAAATTAAAAGTACGCCTATAATTTTCCTATGAAGTTTCTAAATATTCTTTAAATGAAATTTTTAAAATTGTTCATGAAGCATCATAAAAATAAAAAGGAGATTGTATTTTAAACAATGGAGATTGTGGAGATGGAAGGATGAGGGGACCAACTAGAAAGTGCAAATCCAGTGTTAGAATTAGTCATATAAAGGACAGATTAATGTTTGCTTGAGTCAATTTGTTATTGATAAATTTAAGAATTTAGGAAAGAAGGCCTTAAAAGTTCTCATCCAAATTAATAAATTTTCCCAATATTCCCTAGAGATCCATCTGTAGGATTCAGATCACCCACTGATTGTGTATCTAAAACTCTTCTGATTACTTCCTATTTGGTTCACATGCAGAGTAGCAAAGATACTTACACATCACATTGACATTGAAATGGTTCCACTGTCTAGACAGTGGACACTATTTTCTACAATTTAAAATTCCTAAGGAAACTGGCATTATCTTATCTCTTCAGTGAAAGTTCATTACATGGAAGATATGAAATGGAGATCCTGACTATGTAATATTCTATATTTTAAAACATTGCTACTTACTGGAAAACCATATGTCATTGGGTGTGATTGATGTTGGAAGCATAATATATAACCTAAGAATCGGAGCTTAAGCCCCTGTTCACTAAGCTTAAATCAGTACATGAGCTTTCCACTAAACTTGGGAAAATTCAGGATCAGATTCTTAAATACTATTCATAAATACAGTTTTTCAGGAAAAGTAGTATGGAAACTCATGCTACAAAATTAAATAAATTTCTATTTGCACCCACCAAAGAATTTGAGTACCAACACACTTTCTTACTATATTTTTCTTTACTTGTAATTAAAGCAGTGAATGCATGTATTCTATCATACGACTTCCTTATTTCTATGACCAGTAATCATATAAACAAATGGAATCTTTTCTTTCTTTTTTTGAATGTGCTAATACAGGGGCTTGAACTCAGAGCCTAGGCACTCTCCCTTAGCTTTTGCATATAAGAGTGGCACTCTATCACTTGCGCCATATTTTTTTACTTTTGGCTTTTTCTGGTTAATTCCAATTTGGAGAATAGAGTCTCACAGACTTTTCTGCCAAACTTGCAATCCTCAGATCTTGACCTCCTGAATATCTAAGGATGCAGAGATGAGCCACCAAGGTCTGGCTTTTCCATATTTTTCTGATATTTAACATTTCTCCAGACCTACCCTTGTTAATATCCATTTACTATTCCTGGTGCTATTTAATTGCTTTTCCATCAGCTTAGATACAGGAGTAGAAAACATTGAAAGTATGTGTAGGCACACTGTTGATTTGAAGAAGTTCAAGGAATTGTTTGTTTTGTTTATTTTTTACTTAAATTTTATTGCAAAGGTGATGTACAGAGGGGCTACACTTACATAAGTCAGGTAATGAGTACATTTCTTTTCGAATTTTGTTTTAATAAAGGAAATTATTCCCTACTAGTGGCATTTCAAAATTTTTGAGTGGTCTCAGGTAATGGGCTGCAATTTTCTTCATGGCAGTCTTCATGTCTCTATTCCTTAGTGTGTAAATAATGGGATTTAGGATGGGAGTAAAAACTGTGTAAAATATGGCAAGCACTTTATCCACAGGGTAGGTGGTAAAGGGCCATACATAAATGAAGATGCAAGGGCCAAAGAATAATGTTACCACCATGATGTGAGCAGCCAGTGTAGAAAATGCCTTTGCCATTGCAGCCGAAGACTTGAACCAGACTGTGATGAGAATAATGATGTAAGAACTCACCAATGCAAAGAAAGTGCTTAAGGAAAGAATTCCACTGTTGACAACAATTAATATTTCAATGTTGTAAGTGTCCATGCAGGCAAGTTTGGCCACTAGGGGAAGGTCACAAAAAAAGCTATCTACTACATTGGGTCCACAAAATGGTAGAGTTACAGTAAATGATAGCTGGCTTAATGTGTGTACCAAACCCACAGCCCAAGACATTATTATTAAGGACATACATGTCCTTCGGTTCATGATATTCACATAGTATAGAGGTTTACATATGGCTACATATCTGTCATAGGCCATAGAGACAAGTAGCACCATCTCTCCTCCAGTAAACAGATGAATAAAGAAAATTTGGGCTATGCATCCAGTGAATGATATGATTTTGGGTTCACTGAGAAAATCTGCAATCATCTTAGGTGTAGCAAAAGAAGCCTGACAAATATCAACAAAGGAAAGGTTTCCCAGCAGGAAATACATGGGAGAGTGCAGGCTGATATCAGAAGTCACCGTGATAATAACAAGAAGATTTCCTAAAACAATGACCACATACAACACAGAGAAGAAAAGAGAGAAGAAAAGCTGGAGATGTTGAGAATCAGAGAGTCCCAGCAACACAAATTCAGACACAATGGAAGAATTGGCTTTATCCATGGTCTAGGCTCCAGACTGAATGGGAAACAGCTCTAAAGCAAGGGGAATAAAAAAGAAGTTAGAATTATGAACTAAGAACAATATTAATTTTCTCAAGTTTCTTGTGATTATGTCAAATATTAGCTATAATGTGTATTAGATGAATATAAAAATTTTGAGAGCAGGGTACAATTGTTTCATGTCTGTATTTAACAGGCTGAGCTCTGAGGATCATCTTTTGGAGCCAGCCTAGGGAGAAAAAAATCTGTGAGTCTTATCTGTACAGTTTTAAGGAGATTATGAAAATGACCAAGTAATATTTAATTTCCATTAGCATCATTTTATATGGTCATATGGCTATTGAGCTATTGTGATCCTCAGCTAGTTCTATCCTAGTTACATATTAATTATTACAAATGAGGGAAACCATAACAACTTTGTTTCTTTGTGTCTGGCTTACTTCACTTATGATTTTTCCAAGTCTTACCATTTCCTTATGAATGGAGTGATGTCATTCTTTCTGATGGGAGCATAGAATTCCATTGTATATTTATACCACACTTTCTTGTTCCATTCATCTACTGAGGGACATATGGGTTGATTCCAGATCTTAGCTATGGTAAATAATGGAAACATGAGGGTTTCTTTTTGCGTTTTGTTTTCTCTCTCTCTCTCTCTCTCTCTCTCTTTATGTGTGTGTGTGTGTGTGTGTGTGTGTGTGTATGGTGCGCGCACTGTTTAAGTTATTTCTTTTATCTTCCATGTTTTTCCTTCGGTTTATTTCCTGTTATCACTTTTTTATTTTGGGATCCTTTGTCTTGTATATAAGTTTATCTGATTTGGGGAAAAGACAGGCAATCACAGAAATGGTGGGTAAAAGGACAAACTGTAGACCAATGCAACAGTGATACTTATGAGACACTATGTTGGAAATTAACTTTACAACTTGGGTGAGGAGGAGTAAGAGGGGAGGTAAGAGGGAGAAATTGAGGGAGGGGGTTACAGCGTTCAAAAATAAATGTACTCATTACCTTACTTATGTAACTGTAACTCCTGTGTACATCACCTTTAAAATAAAATAAAATTTAAAAAAATTAGAAGTTTCAACTGTTTCATTAGAACCTTTGAGTTTCTGGATATGCTTATCTGTTACAGAGTAGTAATTGGCTCAGACATAGAATGATTTGGCAATTTCACCAGGCTTCCCAAAACTTTGCACAAAGCAAAACCAATTCAGATTTCTTGGTTACTTTCACTACTTTTCTGAAATCTTTAAAAATAACACTTTAATTTTCCCATAAATATCTGTACCTGATTTTTTGCTATGTAATGTGATACCACATTATTTAACTTAGGATCATAACAGTTGTTATGTGTTATAATGGTTTATTTTTAATTTTATTTTTAAGTGCTTAAAAACAGAGATTACAGTTAAATAAGTCAGGCAATGAGTACATTTCTTTTTGGGTAATGGCACCCCTTATCTAGCTCTTTTTTTCCCTCTCATCTCACCCACAAGTTGTATAATTCATTTTTGGCATAGTGTCTAGTGAATTTCATTGATACATTTGTTACCCTTTATCCTTCCATTTCTGTGACTCCTTTTACTCTCTCAAAGACATATAGACAAACAGACAAGACAAAAAGAAAAGAAAATAAAAACAGTAAAAACGAATTAAAGACCTCTTGTTTACATTTCCTGGAGTTTATTTTGCTAAGTATTATTTTGTTTGATGAGACGCACATAGGCATTGTATTTTTCTGTTCCTTTCCTAAAAGTTTATTCCTCTTCTACTTATTTTAAGTGGGTTTAAAAACTTATTACTTCATAGACAGTTGCAACATTTAAGCATAATTCATGACATTCTATCAGAGTAATTACACTATATTAGAACTTCTTCATATGTTAAATGCTTCTATAATAACATGACTATTACTGCTGCTGTAGGAGCCATACAATTTGGATAGATTTTACTAAGGGTATTGGTGAATACATATTACACAGTTTTATAGTTGCTTAAGTGAATATTATTGCTTGTCCTCAAGAGTTAAAACTCATGTTTGCTTAATTATTCAAGGGCAGTACCAAAAATTTGTTTGTATGAAATTTAGATATATTTTCTAAAGATGCAGTCCAATAGTAGAGCACCTGAACAAAGACCTGTGTTTGATCACAAGCACAACAAGGAAACTACAAAACATATATTATCAGGACTCATTTATATTCCTTTTCCTCAGTATATTCCATTAACTTAAGACATCTGTATAATTATTAAAGTATGAAGGTTGTTATTTTAGGGGATTTTTTCAAGGAAAGGTAAAGATAATGAGACCACTTCCTGTGGGCTAAAGTATAGATATAGATATAGTTGGTCTTGGGGCTTGAACCCTGGGCCTGAGCACTGTCTCTGAGCTCTTCAGCTCAAGGCTAGCACTCTACCACTTGAGCAATACTGGTACTACCAGTTTTCTGGTGATTAATTGGAGATAAGAGTCTCACAGACTTTCTTGCCAGGACCGGCTGTGAACCACAATACTCAGATCTCAGCCTCCTGACTAGCTAGGATTACAGTCTTGAGCCACTGGCAACCAGCCTAAAATATATTCTTTTGAGGGTCAGGTTATCTTAAATGATTAGATCAAGTTTGCATCTCCTATGTTAACTCTATTACACTTACTATATAAATCCAGTTTCGTACTAAAAGCTCTCTGTCATAATATATATATATTATTTCTATTGGACTTCAATGGCTCACACCTATAATGCTAACTATTCATGGGGCTGAGAACTGAGGATTGTGGTTCAAAGCCAGCCAAGGCAGTAATGTCTTTGAGACTCTTTTCCAATTAACCAAAATTCAGAAGAACAGTTGCTCAAAACCTCAGGTACAGCACCCAGGCCCTGATTTCAAGGAAAAGCACAAAAAATAAATAAAAAGTTATATTATTTCTGATGTCAAGTGTTGACCATGGTCATATTAAGGAACCTAAAAGTATGATGTGATTCCAGCATCATTTGCCTTCTACTGCTTACTTATTGCATACAAGAAGCCAGTCTTTTTTATATCTCTACAATATAGCACCCCTCTTGTAGAAGGATAAAATTGAAAACCTCATAGAAAAGTGGGCAATGAAAGTATATTGCATATGCTTCTATTGCAAGAACTTTCAGGGAAGCATCTTACCTGGCCCTATTTTAATAATGTTCTATCATGGATTCTGAAAATAAAATAAGAAATTAAGATGACTCATAATTTATTAAGCACATTAATAACACTGAAACTGTGTTTATACTATGAAAGCAACAATAGAGATGATGAGTTCTAAAATATAATGTAAATGAATTCATGACCTTACTTCATCTATGATTCACTTTGTTTCCCTATTTCCAAATTAAAGATACTCTTATTCAACTTCATGTATTTATCACATAAAATGATGAGCCCTATCTAGTGACAATGTTTATAATATGAATGTGATTTATATAAACTAAAAGAATGAAGCAGATTACTAGTGAATTATAATTAAGAATTTTAAAGCTAGAAAAAATAAAGAAAATTATGTACATTTTGAGGCCTTAGATAAGCATATCTGTGTTAGATATTTGTGTATGTGTTTTATTACGTGAGCTTTACAACATGCTTGTGGAGAATGTATTATTATTCACAAACTACAGAATCTATAACTAAAATTTAACAGTTTAGTAATAATCATTCAAACAGCAAGTAGAGGTGTGAGAATTTGAAAAAAAGATAACAAAAGAAAGAGTTAACATTTAATAAGTGGTAACAAAGTACTGCTGCTTGTCCATGTATAATTGAAAGTATCTATAACCCTGAGAAAAACACCAATAATAATTCTATTTTGCTGTAAGAAATCAAAGCTCTAGACATGTTAAGGAAGTCAATAAACTAGAATGTGATGCACACCCTTTCACTGCACACTGTAGCATTACAATTTACTGCTTTAAAGAGCCATGACATCAACATTACGCTACACCTGGGAAGCCCCCATTACCAACATGGGTACTGAATTCTAATCTGAGAATCCACAATGAGACAGTGAGTCTTCAGTTAACTAGTACTACTCAGTGTTGACAGTATCAACATGTGAAGTGCAGCAATTTATTTTTATGTGGATACTACTAAATGTCCAATTGGAGATGATAATAACTTTTAGTAAAGAAACACAAAATTTCTTGCATCAAACTAACCACAAGTTAGCTTGCAGCTTTTTCTTTCCTCTTTTAAACATTTCATTCATTAACAAAATGATCAGTCTGAATCTACATAAAAATCAGTAATGATAAATGAGAATAGAAATGGAGGTTTGGCTCAAGAGTCATAGTATCTGCATGGGACCACAAAAGTTAAACAAGGGTGTAAGGCCCAGAGTTTAGGCCTCAGTATCAGCACACCACACAGATTGGGCTGGGGAGGTGGCTTAGAGGTAGAGTATTTGTCTTACATGCATGAGGCCCTGGATTCAATTCCTCAGCACCACATAAGTAGAAAAAGCCAAAAGTGGTGCTGTGCTTCAAGTGGTAGAGTGCTAGCCTTGAGCTGAAGAGCTGGGGAACAGTGCCCAGGCTGAGTTCAGGCCACACGTCTAACCAAAAAAATTGATTTTATAAAATTTATAAGCAAACCTCTCCTACACACCTCAGCTGATTTTTATTGTTCTGTTAACTTTTCATTCTTATAACAAATTTTATCGAAGTAGTTTGTACATGTTTCCTTCCTTGTCTACAACTCCGACCCTGAGCACACTTACCAATGCATTTTGCTACTGCCTCAGGGGAAGCTTTCTATTCAAATATCCTCGTAGATGTAGTAGTAATAATGAATTTTGTTATATTTTAAAGAGAAGCAACTGGTTTTCCTATCATAATAATATTTATTCATGTGACATTCCCTAACAAGTAGATTCCCAATGAGTTCTCTTTTTATTCACTCTGAATTTCTTTATTCTTTTGTAGTCTGTTTTTTTTTAAAATTACTATTCATTGCTTCACTCCTCAT